GCATTGGGAGTCGTGTCTGGAGTTTCCAGGCAAGTATTTGTATCATTTCTAGACAATTTCAATGTTTTGCCGTTGCCATGGCGTTGTAAATTTATTTGTATTTAGTATAGCTTCACTAGTATGACCAAGTATGTCCTCATATCGCTTTTTTGTGTTGAAATAATCGTTTCATACTGAAATTGACAAATATAAATGGTATTTATTTATATTGTTGACGAAAATTTGTGGTGTTTTAGGCATAAAAATCTCTGATTCCTTGGCGAAGTAAAATGAGCCTTGAGCACATGTTTGGTTGTTTATTACATACATAATAGCCAAGTATTCATACTTATATCTTACTAGTTGGCTCTTATTATAATTTTAAGTGGCACCATGTCTATAAAAGTTTTTATTTGCACTGATGAATATATTTATCCTGTTCCTATCTGCTGTTCCTGTTTCATAGCCTCAGGGAAGTAGAGTTCTGATGAGTCATGAGAACCCCACTCGCCAACCCAGAGGGAAGGTAGGGGGATGAGTAGAGGTAGAGGGAAGCCCAGCCATTAGGACCTAAGGTTTCGAAAGCTCCCTGTCTAGCTTCCCCACTAGGCCCCATAGTACATGACGGCTATGATGATCCTGACGCTAGGAATGTTCTCCCAGATTTTGCTCCTCACTGACATGTCCGGGATCCATTTCGATCAATTGTGAGCTTGAGTTCATTCGGCTCAATGAACTGTCAGCTTGAGTTCGTTCGACTCTTTTTTACTAAGGGAATGCTTCAGGAGGTAGTTTCCTGGCCATACCAATACATATGCCCACATACAAACAACTGAAAAGTTATCCACATATACTAACAATGAAGGGTCTTGCAGTCCACCAACCTTGAGAGGTTGATTGCCTTTTAGTATAATATGCAGGTTTGCTAAAGGTCGACAGTGAGATTGAAAATTATTGGAGTGTAAAAACCTTATATCATGGTCTGTGGGCAATAGACATAATTTCTCGGGTTAGGTACAAAGCGCTTATGGCGTTTGTGAATATGGTAGATCCTGTACTAAAGACTACAGCAATAAACTGCATCAACAACTGTACCAGCCGTCACAGAATATTGTTGTTGCAGACAAACACACTGTCAAATCAAGAAATAGGTTGGGGGTTAGGCAGTTCATGAAAGCTAGATGACCTACTATGTGGGGAATAAATCTGTGGGTTGCTGCAGACAATCCTAATGGTTATATTGCGACTTTGAAATTTATACAGGAAGAAGTCCAGATATTCATCGCAACAGATTTGGGTATGACGTGGTGATCTGATATCAGTTTGGTTACAGTCTTAGGTCTTTTGTAGTACAATATAAAGGAAATATTTTCACCACATAATCCAATTATGTGCTTTGGCAAACATTACTCAGCTTTAGCAAACATTACTGCCTTGGAAAACATTACTTTTTTATAACTACTAATTATGATGATGCCAGCCCAACAACACTTGGTCATGCTATTTGCAAATATTTTCATGTTCTAGATTGTGAAAACAATCAATTTCTAAACAAATGAGTAGTGATTATTTCAAATTTCAATAGCATGACCCAATTTTGAGGCTGGTTATGCCACTAATAACTAAAGTCAATGGTGTAATGATTATCTAAGAATGTATGTAGTAATTGTAGAAATAAAGACATTTTGCTAATCATGATTTGAGTGTTCTTTTGTGGGTATCACAGACTTATTTTGGTGCCATACTATCTTTGGAGAGTAAGAAATATTGGAAATTTGTATTGATAACATGTTGCAGCAATAAAAAAGGACCTTTGATAAAGGTATTTGTTTCATGTGAGCACAAAATGTAAATTTTACTCCACTACCTAGTTTATATAAAAATTCAATAAAAATATTTCTATTTATGCTACATGCATGAAACTTCGGGTACTTGTAGATCATAACCGTGTCTTTCAGTCATACTCATAAAATTTTTTGACATATTTGAAATTTGAACCGCTAAATACATTTATGCATAATTGCAACATTTTTTTATATCATAATTTATGCAAATTTATGCGAGTAAATCGTTAACCAAGCTCCGGTTGAAATTGAAATTGGTATTGTTGGAAAGCGGAAGTCCTCCTCTTTCGAACGATGCAATTTCTGTTTCCGTGCGATGTATAATTTGAGAGATATAAGCGTTTGAAACAACACCACTCGAAATTGGTACTTTTCGACCGGATGAGAATGAGTTAAATAATTAATTAGCCATCGTGATTAATATGTGGCCAACGCCTTCGTAAATAACATGCGGCTAAAGCTTGTAAAATGTGCTTACACAACAATTCCTATACCGATTATACCCGCAAATATATTCTCATTATTCATGCGGCCTATACTGAAAGTATGTAAATATTTATTTCTGAATTACATGTATATATTGGTCATTCATTCCTGGTTTCATTCGTTTTGACTTAATACAACTACTGAATCAGTGTGATGATTTGATATTTATTTCATCTCTTTTCATGACATAACGATTATAACACAATGCGGTTAGAAACTTAATTCATGGGCGTACGGGCCTAATCTTGTTTGGAGGGGAGGCACAGTATTAGTTTGCCCGAACGCTTTGCTTGCATAGTACACATATACTATTTGTTCGAGAGGGGTGGGGTGGGGGGGGGGTATTTTTTGAAAAGGGATAGCCGTGTGGCCGACATACCACGCATGAACCATATGGGGGTCTGCGGGCATGGTCTCCCAGAAAATTTTTGAAATTTGATACCCGGAAATGCAATTTCCTGCATTCTGAGCATCCAAATTTGCCCTAAAATTTATGCTAACTATACTTGTATTTGAAATAAGAAAAGGAAAAAAACGCAAAAAAAAAATTTGACAATAATTTATCATCACTTATTAGACGGGAATAGATGGCCGAAGTCCACTTGTGTGGGGGCATACTGCCCCGTGTTTTTAGGGATTTCAGCTTTTAGTATTCCGTGTTTTCGAGATTTCGGTTTGGTGTGTTACAGGTTTTAAAGATTATGGCTTTTAGTATTCCGTGTTTTAGAAATTTCGGCTTTTAGTGTACCTCCATTCCCAGCCGGTCCACGAATGATGTCCCCAAATTCCTTGTTACACTGACTTGAAACGTCAAGTGTCTTAAATCGGCACATGATGCTTTGGACAACTTCATAGGTCTAGGCTCCATCAAAATTTCCTTCATTTTGTTGATTGCGTCAGTTTTATCTATATTCAGACCTTTGAACTGCAAAGGACCAAATTGGGCAGCATGGGAATTAACTTGCTTTAACAGCTTTGGAAATTTCCTAAACCAAGTTGCCAGGCCATTTAGGAAGTAAACAAATTTATATTGATGCCTCTCCCATGAAAATTTTAAATACCTTTTCTGCTCTGCTGCTATTGGCACTGATTAATAGGCATCCTTCAGATCTATATTTTCGTATAGGTAATAGCATGGTTGCACTGAACACGAGTTTGCACTGTTGACGTTGTGCTAGACAGTAAACAAAAGAGAGTTTAAGACCTACGACCGGCTCAACGACGCTCTTGCGAAAGAAAGAAATCTGTCATGCAAGACAAAAACTGTGAATAAATTTGTTGTCCCAGGGGTATTCTCAACGGCTTTGTCATGCTCAGCAGAACGTTAAACTAAGCATTATCACGTCTTTCAAGCAACGCGAAGCTTATTGCGACCCAAAAGGTGATACTTAGCCTAAAGTCAAAATTACAGCAAACATTGCATCGCTTTAGTCAAACTTACTAGCTGTTTCTAATGTTATTTGAAAATCGTCAAACATTTATTACAGTAAAGAAATTGCTTAGCTTTCATTTATTAGCTGAAATTCAGACCGCGTCGTTGAGCCGGCCGCGTCGTACATCTTAAACTCTCTAAAGTAAGTCCGTGATGGCACAGCCAATGTGGCCAATGTATAATGAATACACGGCCTAAAACAATATATCTTCTGGCACTTTATAATTGGGCGCCGGTAATGCATAACGTCATCAATTTATATATTGCATAGAATCTGAAAGATTTTCTCAATACTTATGTCTGAAATGTTTATATATTTGAAAACAACACTCTCTCGCTCTTTCCTACCTCTGTATTTTATTTTACAGATTTTGCCATTTAACACAAACTATTACACAAAATTAGTTAACACAAACTATTACACACAATAGATTACATGGCTGGAATTACCACACAGAGATTAGTTCTCCAATAACGGGGTTCCAAAATGGGTATACCGTGAAAATAATATCGGCACTCAATTGAATGCCTAGAATCTCAAAGATTTTGAATATCTACAACGTAAATGATTACTTAACAAGTCTATTTATGTTCAGATATTTCCATCTGCAAAATTTGCCAGAAATCTTCGCAAATTATTTCTTGACTAATAAAGAAATCCATAACCACAACACTAGAAATTCATCATCTTTGCACAAAAAATGCTACAGAACAAATTATACAAAACATACTCTTGCCAATAAGGGGACTGATGTTTGGAATAATCTTCCCACACAATATAAGAAAATCCAATTCTATGGTACTTTCAAAAAAACTATAAAAAAGTACTTTCTGCATTTAATTACTTCAAGTTAACATTTCCACTTCACCAGTAAAATGTTTGTAAATGTAAATATATATAAATATATTAAACCTCACAATGAGCTTGTCCAATCAGAGAACTAAATTTGTACCACATGACCATGGTATTTTTCAGCGAATACAATGACCTAGGCAATTTGAACCCTGGGTGTTTTACCCGGGGCCATGGTATTCGACTTCGAATACCACGCTTGAGCGGGAAATTCGACTTTTTTAAATGTAAAGTTATCAAAAGTTGTGTTTTGAAATTAAAAGTTAATTGAATGGTATTTGTTTTCTACTTATTTTTGAAAGGTTCGGTATAATATACTATTTATAGACCTTTCATTCGGGGTATTCCACAAAAAATTACCCTGCGGGATGAAATATTCCTCAGGCTTCGCCCTCGGAATATTTCATCCCTCAGGGTATTTTTTTGTGGAATACCCCTCGTTTCAGGTCTATAACTGATAAATATATCCCGTTCTTCATTATTTAAAAATCTATTTTTCTCTTTCAAATGTAATACAACTCCAGCTTACTATTTTACAGTAATGTATTGTACATTAATTATAATATATTTCCTGACTTTAAAAAACAACATTCGAACTGCATGTTAGATAATGAAGATAGCTAGTAATATAATTATTACCTAGGGACCTTAAACAAAAACCTTTTGGTTTCTAGATGGTTCCTAGCCCTAATTTTGTAAATATTTAATTCTACTTCTTATTGTTATGTAATTTGGCGAAAAAAAAATTAAAAAAAAAGAAAATATTTTCGACTCAATATTTAAGTATATTTACGTCTGAAATGTTTAATATAATATATAATATATACACTTGAAAAAAAGCACTGACCTAGCTCCTTCCTAGCTCTGTAAAATGAATATACCGTCTATAAATAATATCGGCACTTAATTGAATGCATAACATCAATTTATATATTGCGTAGATTCTCGAATATTTACTCAATATTCACGTCTGAAATGTTTATACATTTCAAAACAACACTGTCTCGCTCCTTCCTAGCATCGTCACGCCATCGTGGTCTACGGCTTGATAGCGCATGCGCATTTGCGCTGCTAAAGAAAAATCGGGTGTTCCGGGGTAAAGATCCTTTACACAACATGAGAAGCGCATGTTATAAAATTTACAATAACGACAACAATTCCTCAAATTTTTTGTAAACTTGGCAAAACTTAGCAAAAGGCCTAAAGAATATTTAAATAAGACAACTGAAATTGCCTAAATAACCTTCAAAGCACAGACTAAGTACGAATTAAATGTAAGATCACTACGAACATATACCGTATACACCCCCCCGGAAAGTTTACTGTATGACTGAATGACTGACTGACTGTGTTGTTTGAATCCCCCCCCCCCCAATCATCACAACACTGTGAAGCTTCGAAGAAACTTCACACTAAAAAATGTTCGAGACAAATGTAGTTTTACTAACTTACGCGTTTATAGCGAACATTCAACTGGCAAAGTTTTCCTGACTTTGTTATGTCACATTATGCAACGCTAGCAGCTTGAAATTCCACTCAACTATGTAATTTTTGTTAGTCTTGTTTAAGGTAAATGCTTTTCCAATTAACAATAAAGATAAAAGCTAAATTTTCCATGCGAAGGCAACTTTTACTTTGTGTAGGCGCGGCGCTATGTCCGTTTTTTTTTTAAGCAATCTGTGACCGTTTACTTCTTTAAACTAAACTGCTTTAAAGTGATAGGTTGATTTTATCATCACAATGTTTTTCCACCAATCAGATCAGTTTGTTACAGATTTTTGCACTCTTGTTACAGATTTTTGCACTGCTGTTTGGGATTTAATAATATACATAAAGATATTACTGGACTGTGATTGGTTGATTTCAGTGCAGTTAATCCCAAACAGCAGTGCAATTTTCTGTAATCACAGTGCAATTTTCTGTAATCACAGTGCAATTTTCTGTAATCACAGTGCAATTTTTTGTAATCACAGTGCAATTTTCTGTAATCAAACTGATCTGATTGGTGGAAAAACATTGTGATGATTAAATCAACCAATCAGTTTAAAGCAATTTAGTTTAAAGAAGTAACGATCACAGATTGCTTCAAAACAAAACAAACATGGCGCCGCGCTACACAAAGTAAAAGTTGCCTTCGCGTGGAAAATATGGCTTTTATCTTTATTTTTAAATGGAAAAGAATTTACCTTAAACAAGACTAACAAAAACTACATAGTTGAGTGGAATTTTCAAGCTGTTAGCGTTGTATAATGAGATATAACAAAGCCAGGAAAAGTTTGCCAGTGGAATGTTCGCTATAAACGCGTAAGTTAAAACTACAATTGTCTCGAACATTTT